CCGGCTGGTTTGCCCTGAAGGGTGTTCTGGATGAGGGTGGGGGTCCCGCTTGGGTGCCTGGCCAGCCTGGATGAGGCGATGATGGCTGTTTGCATCTGGTCACACCCCCTTCAGGGTGGGGGTCCTCACTGGGGTGCCTGGCCAGTCTGGGTGAGGGGCTGAGGGCCGTTTTCAGGCTGGCGGGTGACTGAAGCTCCCAACCTCTCCTTTTTTCCTTTTTTTTAATTTTTGGATTTATTTACATTCTATGGCTGTCACTGGAGCTGAGAGCCGGCTTTAGCTGTGAGACCTCGCTGCTGAAAGCAGGTTTCTGGCTTTGTTTACTTTCTGTATTTGAAACTTTGTTGTGACTCCAGCTCTGAGATCCCGGCTGATTGAAAACAGGTTTCTGGGGTTTTATTTAGCTTCTATATTTGTAACAATGTTTCTTAGCAGCTCAGAGCCCAGCAGCAGCAGGCGGGGAACATTGGAGTCCTCCGTCACTGAAGCAAGCAAGCCTTCTGATCGTGTCAGTAGCCTGGCTGCCGACCGCCAACTTGGCTGGCAGTTAATTTGCATATTGCCCTGATTAGCCAATGGGAAGTGTAGCGGATGTACGGCTAATTACCATGTTCCTCTTTTTTAGATAGGATAAGAAAGTGGTCCAATTTCATATTTTCCATTTATCTGTATAGTTTTGTCAGCACCACTTATTGAAGAAACTGTCTTTACCCAATTGTATATCCTTGCCTTCTTTGTCATAGATTAATTGACCTTATAAGCAAGGAATTTTTTCTGTATTCTCTATTCTATTCCATGAATCTGTATCTTTTTTTTTATGCCAGTATCATACTGTTTTGATTATTGTAGCTTCGTAGTATAGTTTGATATTGGGGAGCGTAATACCTCCTACTTTGTTCTTTCTCAAGATTTCTTTGGCTATTAAGAAATAGTTCCATATAAATTTTAGGATTAGTTCTAATGCTGAGGAGAATGCCATTGGTATTTTGATAGGGATTGCATAGGATCTGTATATTACTTTAGGTAGCAAGGACATTTTAACAATATTAATTCTTTCAGTCTATGAGCAAGGTCTATCCTTCCATTTATTTGTATTGTTCAGTTACTTTCTTTGGTGTCTTACAGTTTTCAGAGTTCAGGTCTTTCACCTCTTTGGGTAAATTTAATCCTAGATATTGGGGGTTAAAGGGAGACATATGTAATACTTTCAACAATAAATATTTTTAAAAAATTATTCCTAGGTATTTAATACTTTTATTTTAATTTACTGATTTTTAGAGAGTGAGAAGGAGACAGAAACGGAGACATGGATTTAGTTGTTGTTCTGCTTATCTATGCATTCATTGCTTGCTTCTTGTATGTGCCCTGACCAGGGATTGAATCCTCAACCTTGGTGAAATAGGGCAATGCTCTAGCCCCGTGGTCAGCAAACTGCGGCTCACGAGCCACATGCGGCTCTTTGGCCCCTTGAGTGTGGCTCTTCCTAAGCCTTACGAGTACCCTAATTATGTTAATAACAATGTACCTACCTATAGAGTTTAGGTTTTAAAAATTTGACTCTCAAAAGAAATTTCAATCGTTGTCCTGTTGATATTTGGCTCTGTTGACTAATGAGTTTGCCGACCACTGGTCTAACCAACAAAGCTATCTGGCCAGGGTGGTGTTTTATAATTTTAATGCTGTTGTAAATGGGATAGTTTTCTTAATATCTTCTTCTGATCATTATTTTAGTATATAGAATTCTGAACAGATTTCTGCATATTTATTCTGTGTCCTACAACTTTACTGAAGTCATTTATTAGTTCTAACTGGGGCCCAGCGCACGAATTCGTGCACCTTGAAAGGAACTGTGGGTCGCGAGGCTGCGGTGGGCACAGGGGTGGGTCTCAGTCCATCCTCCGTGCCCCCGATGCCCACGAACCCCCAGTACCCCATG